GACCAAAATTGGGCTAGTTACATAATGACGATCTACCGCAGTAAAAATTGTCATTTTTTTTGCACACCACTGTATAAGTAATCTATTCGGATCGGAAAAGCCGATCCCGTGGATTCGTTTCCATTTTAAATTAAAAAAAAATCATTTTAATTTAAAAATTTAATTATTTATTAAAATCAATTATTAAAAGAAGAATTTAAATAAAAGAATTTAAAAGAAAAATTTTAATTTTAAAAATAAATCGCGATAAAAGACAATTAAAAAATCGATTCAAATTAAAAAATCAATTTTTAAAATTAATTAAATATCGAGTCTAAAAAAATCAATTAATTAAGAAAATATAAATTAAAATTCAATATTAAAATAACCTAAAATATATATATATATAAAAAAAAATAATATTATTAAATTTAAGAGAAAAGTTATTCTCACCCGGGGTGAGATTCGATATTACTTACGTAATGTGATGTATAAATCGTAATATGACGTAATAAGATATAAGATCATTTGCCGCAGTATTATTTTTCTTTATTGTTACGCGCTGCTGTTTTTTTTTTCTTATTGTTTCTAAAAAGTAGCTTATATATTTTTTTTTTGCTTAGATTTTATTCTTAAATATTTCAGTCTTTCCTTTAGTTATTGAGTTATTTTTACTCAAAAAGCAGCTAATTTTCGATATTTTTTTTTTTGCTTTATGATAATTGCTTAAATGGAATGTGAGAACGAATGTTTTGATCTAAGTGGCGACAATACAAATGATGACAGTGAAAGAGAAATTCTCTTGTAATTACATGAAACGTGTTAGATAGCTCATTATAGCATGATTATCGATACTATTTATGAAGTTTGTTAAAATTTTCTTGCCTTTACCTTTTACCGTTAAATAGGAATGGAATTCATTGATTACAACGAGCAATTTCCTGATATTGAAACACAAATCAAATTAGAAGTGGGGTCAACTTTCCTACGCTTGAAATTGCTGAACAATATATCGGTCAATAAGTGAGACAGCATAATTTTGCAATTTTTAAAGCAAAACTTGAAGTTCATAACGATAAAACATTTCGAAAACGGATTTTTAATTGTGATTTAGGGGGAAAATATGGGCAAAGACTTCTCCACCCAGCTATCGGCAAATTAAAAAAATAAGGGTACAAAGAAGATTGGGTGTGAATGGCAAATTAATATGACAAGACCAAAGAATTCATCTTTAATAATAATTACTTTGTTTAAAGATGTTCATAACCATGAGATTTCTTTAGAAACTATTACATTTGCTACCGCTTACAGATCTTTCACTTCTCAAATTATAAAAGACATTGAATTTTACGTTATACATGGTCGTTCTGATGCTAGTATTGTTCAAAACCTTTTACAGCCAAAATATCCAGGACGAGTTTTTTGGGTAATGCAATTCAAAAAATCAAGCGGGATCATAAGATTCAATCTGGAGATGCCTCAACATTATTAACCAAGTTGCTTAAATTGTAATTTAATGATCCTTCTTGTTTGTAAAACCTTTAATTGACTAATTGGAATATTCTGGATGTCACTTCAGCAACATAAAAGATGGCTTCAGTTTAGTAATATTATTATTCATTATAATACAACTAGAACAAATAAATACAACTATCCCTTAAGCTTGTTTATATTAATTGATAATCTTAATAAGAGTAGATTGGTGACACAAGCATTTCTTGCAGATGAATGACAAGAATCATACATTTGGTTATTAAGGATATGTTTGAAAGCTACAAATATACAACCAAAAACATTTGTTACAGATGCAGATCTAGCTATGCTTGCAGCTTTATCAATAGTATTTGATCAATCTCATCACATGCAATACCTTTATAATCTTTAACAGAATCTTCACAAAAATCTTTAATCACGCCTTGGCTCAAATTATCAAAAGTTTCTTATTGATTTCAAACATATTCAAAGATTGTTAACAGAAGAAGGGTTTGATAAGAGATCTCAAGATCTTATTAACAAATATTCAGAAGGTACAAGCTATATTCAAAAAGGTTTTATTTAATTGAAAACATATATGGTAAAATGTTTCATATCATATTACTTTACAGCAGATACACAATCAACTTAACATGTTAAAAGTGAAAATGCACTATTTAAAAAGCAATGCAATTTTCATTTTCTTTATTTCAAGTTTAAGAGGTTATAGAACAATGTCTTAATACTGAAAATATTAATAAACATTATTTTATTTAAAAAGCTAATATCACATTATATACATAACTATTTATTATAAGTAGATTTTTTTTCAAAAATTGATAAGATAATTAAGAAATATATTACAAATTTGATTTATAATATGCATTACAAGCAAATGAGTGAATATGTATATTACAAAGCAAATCAAATTTCTATTAATAAAATTTTATCTTTAATAATAATGATTTTAAATTATTAATTGTTGAATCTCAAAAGCTTGAAAGTTTTATAGAGATAGATGAAGATTGTAAAAAGTATTTATAATTAATAATTAAGCTTGTTAATTAGGATGATATTTTAAAAACTTGAAAATTAACTTGATATAGTTATTTTAAGTGTTATCAACATGTAATTTTACTTTAAAATAATGAGTATTTATGCATATATTCTATATTAATTACTTATAGAATTATTTGCTAGCATTTTTTTAAAGTATTTGTAAAATCAGATAAAGCATATTTTTATATTTTTTTAATTTTTAACTGCTAGTATTAAGATCAAATTATTAATCATTCAGATTTATTATTAAACAAGATATACATAAAAAATAATGAGTTTATTATTTATAATTTTGAGTGAAGGTATATCTGAGATAATAGTTTGCAAGTAAATAAAGAATAAAAAAAGGTTCAAAGTTAATTTAAATATGAAACACTAATGGGAGAAGCAAAAAAGATTATTAATTATGCATTTCAAGATGAAGATGATGAATTATTGCATCTTATTAAAAATTATATTGATAAAAAAGCAATGGTATCTTAATTTTAAATCAGAAAAAAGATCAAAAAAATAGTATGTGTTGGATAATAATAATTAAATTATTATTAAACTTAAATGCAAATCAATTAATATTCAAGATCTAATATATTATCAATTAAAAGGTCGAATTCCATTTAAATATTTGAAAGGTGTTGTTAAAAATAATCCAAAGACAATTTAAAAGCCATTAGAAAAATTAACTTCAAGGTTTAATAATGAGAATTAAGATAAAAAATAAAGATAATGTGAAAAAGATAGGAATTATAATCATTATTGTAACACATGTCATCTAAATACTACTTAATAAATAAAAGGATATACAATATGAAAATTGTGAGAATTATGATCATTATTGTAATATATGTCAAAGGAATATTTTAAATATAAATTCATTTACGTTTAAAAAAAAGTGTAAATAGCAGTAAATTAAAAATTTTTTATTGATATATTAGTTATTTTAACATAAATTTCATTATAGTTATAGATGAGAGACAAAACCCTTTAATAATAGTTGAAACTTAAACAAAACTATATTAAAATTATAATAAAGAATACAATAAAATTCATTCAATATGATGAAAGCCAAAACTGTTAAAACTATATTAAAAATATAGAAAAGGTATGACAAAATTATTTTAAGAAGGTTTTGGCAGGCATCTATAATTATAGTAAAAAAAAAAACTTTTCCCCTCTTTCTCCAAAACCACAAAAAATGAGAAAAGAAAAAATCAAAATTTTTCATAAAAAAATAACCACAATTTCGAAGCTGCCCTAGCTCGCCTACAAAAAATAAAAAAGGACCTTTACAGAAGAAACTATGACTGGCAGGTCCAACCAAACAGTTGAAACTCTAGTTAAACCCTTAAAAGTTATCACTAACACTAATATTTTATTAGCTAATGATATGAGTATAGACCAACAAGTAAAAGCAGTTTTCACTGAAGCTAAAAACTTTGAATATACTAAAACAACCTGATTTCCTAGAGAAAACAATATACAAGAGATTTCTACTACCAGCTTTTTACCTATTCAAATACCAAAGGATAGTGAAATGATGGGTTCTAGTAATAATAATACTATAGACGAAAACTAAGCTTTTGATGTATCTGAAAATATGCTAAATAATAAAGATACCAGCAAAAATATTATCACCTTTGAAAGAATCTGAGATGCGATCACCTTTTATGTTTATTACGCTACAGAAACCTTTCTTTTCATAAATCCTTTCACGAGAAAACTAACAAAGCTTGTGAATTATTCAATAGTACTATATATTTATCATTCATTAGTACGTTAATCAATCAAAATTCTGAAAACAAAATATTAAAATTATCTGATTAGGATTTATAATATGTGAAGATGTAAACTGTGTTATTGTTGCCAAAATTCCTAATATGAAAACAATCATATTCAAACCCCTTATTACATCTGCTCCATTCAAGTTTGATCTGAGTCTATCGATCAAGATCACTAAAATTCCTATTTTCACTTTAGAACAAATTGTCTGATCAATGTTTGCCAAATTTGATATGATTACCAAATGCGTTATAATGACAAAAATCTTTGATAGCAAGCAATTATTTCATATGCACTCAAGACAGACATGTCATTTTTTAACTCTCACGTTAGCATATTTATTTTGAAAGACATGGTTAGAGTACATATTTATTCTCTTACTAACGAAAAAATTAAAGCTCATTCTCAATTTACTTTGAAACTTACAAATCTTCCTAAAGACACTATAGATATAGAACTGGAGCCTATTAGCAAAGCTATCAATATCATTACATGGGTTATTCCTAAACCAGGTCAAACTATAGAAATCTTCAATATACTTTCATATACTTCTAGAACAAAGAAGATCTTAAAGTAGCAAAAAATGGGGATCTCATTGAATTTGATAGCAGAAAGCTCATCTGAATTGTGTCTGACACTAACTTATGCACACATTATTCCATTCTTGAGTATGACTCATATAATTGTAGATGCAAATGACTAAACCTTAAAGATAAATAAACACAAAACCTTTATCAGCACTTTAAGCCTGTACAATTCAAAAATTATTCTACACCTGCATTACTTCCTAAAGTCACGTTTGTATATGATCAAAAAATAATGTTCAATCCTAACAATCCAGAATCTTTCATAAATAAGACTAAAGGTATTAAACCTAAGGTTACTCTAAAACTAACTTATCCTAATGATTATGCAAAACTCAAACAAACATCCCTTGATAAGTCAATTCACGCTCGTAAATCATGGTATAAACAAATGAAAAAGGAGGATGCGCTATAGATCAACAAAAACACTAATGCACAAACTCACTGATACACAAAAGATTTTGAACAAGCTAAATCCCATCACTGCAACATTAGTTACGCTTTATAATGACCTTGCATTTTCAATACACTGTCTTAACGAAGTTGAAAAGCACCTCAATATTTTTACGATTACGTTTAAGAAAGCCACTGAACTTAATGAAGCTAGCAAAATAGAAGGTGTCATAAAGACTGATATAATATATGAACCTAAAGTAGACATCTTAGACTCCAAAGTTACTAAACATAATGAACACATTATTTGGTTACAAAAAGAAAATGAAAAACTCTGCATTCACCATAAATTCACCATAAATTTACCATTAAAAAACTCAATGTCACACTCTGAGCGGTAGCCAGTATAAAAACATAGTATATAATGATATGCATCCAAGTCACAAAGTTCTAATTCTCAAACTTAATTTGCCTGATACTATTAATACTTTAGATGATAATACAGAGGTTCTAGCTTCTGACTTATTCTTCAAATAATCATGATTTCACAACCATCTAATACTAAAATAGTACCTCTTACACTCAATATCACAACTCACAATACTCATTCTTTTACATTACCACACAAACAACAAATTCTTTTTAATCTTTACTCTCTTTATAATTTAGACATTATCATTTTACAGAAAACGAACTTCAAAATTCCATCTCATATATATTTCTTAAAATCTATTTGTTCTGATAAATTTATTTCTTTCTTTAATACAGATCCTTCTGAATAAAGTATGGAGTTTAAAGTTAGTTTTCTCATCAAAAAATATCTGCCTGATCATGTGTTTAAACATTCCTCCTTCTATCATCACATTTTTTCAATCATTTTTAATTTAAAAACAAACACAAACTTCATATCATAAATATTTATGTTTTCAGTTCAGACAAAAAATTATGTGACAAAACCTATAAGAAAGTACTAGACCTCATAAATAATGTTTACCAAAAGGATTATCTTATAATACTCCTTAACAATTTTAACATAAATCTATCGAGGACATCTAATCTTTTAAATTCAAAAGCTTTCTTCAACTCGCTTAATAACCTTCACCTAATCAACAATTTAGATCTTGTTAAAAAACAAAAATCAGCTGATGATCTTATTACTTATGAGACTAATATAAGATATTTTACGATTGATTATATTTTTATTTAT